TCTCTTGGATTGTGTTAATTATTTTGCGGGAATAGTAGTCCACGTGAACGTCCAGTTGTGTTAGTTTTTCATCGACAGCCAGTTGTTGTCTCAACTGTTCCACCGTTGAGGACACTTCCCGGATATCGTTGCCATCGGTTCCGGCAGTCGTATTGTCGTCTAATGAACGACCATTTGTCGGACTATTGGCGCTATTTGTACCGCAATTGTCACACTTCTTGTGATGATTATTATCTCGAAAGCCCGTGTCTTGTAGTGTATGAAGTGTTGTGTAATTCTAACCATAAGGTTATCATTTATTTTAGACATTAATTACCATTTAATGGATCCGACAATACCTGTAACTGTATGGCGACCGTCGAGAGTATTGATATCACAGAATTGTGGTCCTGTTTGTAGTCTTTCAGTGTTTGAACCATATTGTCAACCGACTGGAAGTCATAGGTGACAATGTCTTTGATTTTGGTATTGGCGTCTAATGAGTGCTTCACAAGACTCTCGATGTTAATGATGTGTGACTTGACGTGCGATTCAAACACTGTATGTCTTTCGTCGTATTTGGAGAACTTCTCGAAGACTTCTTCGCCCGTCCGGTCGATGTGTCTCTCAATTGAGTCCAATTTGTCGACAATTTTATTGAGTGTCGACTCGAACTTGATCTCAATGTGTGCAGACTTTTGATGATAATATCGATATAATAAGAGATGACTTTAGAAATAGATTTCAAATACCTTTAACTCAATCCTATCGCTCAAGTCATCGACTTTTCTGGCAATGGATTCCGTCTTAAACTCTGATTTTCTATCACTCGAGACAAACATCTCTTCAATTTTAGTCATTTTCGAGTCGAAACTGTTCTCTAGTCTCAAAAGTTTCGACTCAATGGACACAATTCGTTGAGACAATTGCTCTAAAGTGAAGTCAAGTCGTGTCAACTTATAGGTGTTGTCGTAGGCCTCCAACAGTCGCAGCCGTTCATCGATGGACACCAGTGTGTCATAAAGAGGTTTCGAGAGCACCGGCTGTTGGGTCTGTGCTGAGTGTCCATTGTTTGTCGATTCTGTGACAAGAATTTGATATAATTTACAGAATTATTGTTAAGAAAGCACTCGTAGACTAGTATCGGGTAATGCATACCGGGTTGAGATCGCAAATGTGATCCATGTGTCTGTTTGAATGCAGTGATAGTTATAAGAAGTAATAAGAAAACTATTGAATGATTCATTTGTGAGGCATTGAAGTGATAAATGATTTTCAATGATCTCTAATTGAATGCAACGTTCATATGATTATCAATAACTGTTTGACAGCTTTCAGAGGACTGTTAGCTCTGAACTCTGGTGTATATCTCACTTTGTTCATAATAAAGCTCTCAATGGTGTACTGACTCGATATAGTGGACTATAAATACATTGATTAGTGATTTAATCAGAAAAACATTAGTAATGATTACTCTGACATTGCTGTCAAAGCACTAGAAAATTGTAATTAAATTTTTATCACTAATACTTTGGGTAAAATTCTTGTGATTAGTAATGTTGTATTTACTTTTAGATAACTTTTAAACATTTGTGTTAGTTTTCAATTAAATTTGTCAAAGCACTAGAAAATTGTAATTAAATTTTATCACTAATACTTTGGGTAAAATTCTTGTGATTAGTAATGTTGTATTTACTTTTAGATAACTTTTAAACATTTGTGTTAGTTTTCAATTAAATTAATATGATTTTGATGTTAAGATGAGAAATATATGAAAAGTTTTATAAATTATACGAAAATTCTTATGATTACAGAAAGAATTGGATGAACTGAGACAAGAATTATGCGAAACGAAAGCTATAAACAAAATAAATGCCGATAACTCGGAGACTATTGAAAATGAAACCAAAAATGATTCAAAACGGGAAAGTTTTTCGTCACATAATTCACACCCAAATGAAAGGAATTCGTTTGAAATGTTGAGAACCATTGAGAGGACACTCCCCACAGAATCCAGTGATATATTGAAACAAAAGTGCCGACAATTGGCTTCAAAACACGAAGAGTGCCTTCAGTTGAGGTATGATTTGTGTTTCAAATTGAGTTTATATCTCAAATGTGAACGAATTATTTGGTTTGAAATAAATTAAATGTTTTTCTGTTTGTGTGGACACAGGAAGGAAAACGTGTCGTTACGCCGACAAACACTTCAATTACAGTCCGAGTTATTCGGTAGGGCTAACCGCCGGTTCATAAACCTGTTTCTTGACCGGCCAGCATATGTTGTCTAGGTCAACAACCCGGCCCTCCGGTTCCTACGGCTAGTGCTGGCGGACACCTTGGTTAACCTCCGACTCTATGACCTCCACCGCCATAAGACGGTCATCCGGGCGTGTAGGGCTCAGTGTCTGGACGGCTACCCATTGCCCGCACCACCCGATCATAATAGTCAGTCTCTCAGGAAAAGACAGGGCGTCGGTATGTTTCGGTTCGTCACAGTGGACAAGGAGGCTGACGAGGGGTTAGGCCTTTCTATTACGGTAAGTGGTGGTGGTTATGGTAAATGTCATAATATTGTTTCGGTAATTGTCTAATGTCTGTATATATGCTTAATATGTGAACAGGGTGGTAAAGAGCATGGAGTGCCTATCATTATATCGCAAATACATCCCAACACACCGGCCGCCAGAACCGGCGCCCTATATGTCGGCGACGCCATCCTTAGTGTCAACTCTATTGACTTAAGAGATGCCAAACACGCGGACGCGGCCTATGTTTTAGCGAATCAGGTATTTGTCACTCATTTGACTTGTTTGTTAGGGAAAGGTAGGCAATGCTATCGTATAATACATTTGAAAAGTGTTAGTATTATATAATTAATGAACTGCTGTGTAATCATTAAGTATTTGCAGCGTTTAGTCCATTAATAGGCAGTAATGTGTAGTCTATTAAAGCGATTGATTGCATATAATAGTCGTCGAGTGTATTGAGTGTTAAATAATTTGAAAGCGATTTTAATTTGCGAAATGAATTAATGGGTGAACCGTTTGGTGCCATAGTCTGGCAAATGTGTGTTAGAAGTGGTATTCGTGGCGCCGGACGAGCACACGGATGAAGAGGAGGAGTACGGTGTCAGTGGATGCGGTGCCGGTGATGATGAGGGCATCTCAGCCGGTGTGGCCATTGGTAGTGGCAGTTATCCGTATTACGATCACCGGGTGATTGATGTGCGCGCCATGAATGCCATCGAAAGCTATGCCAACGATTACGATAATAGGGATGCGATTAACGACGGAACCGATGGATCCCTGGACGGCAGCGCCAGTCAGACCAATGAGACGGTGGGCACCGGTGGCTCAGTGTCCTCATCGCCCACTAAACGATACCCAGGAGTGGCCAAATTGAAGCCTTTAATGAGCGCTAATAGTGTTCGTGTGACTAATGACGGCAAATGTGATGATCGTTTGAGTGGAAATACGCGATCATTAGATGGTGTGGACAGTCATCATAAGATCGAGACTCTCATCCATTAGCGTACGGATGACTATATGACTATTTAATTGATATTTTATTTATTTATGTTTTTATGTGATGAAGCAATTCACGGTTTTTATTATTTATGATTTGATGTATTATTATAATTATAAAGAAGTTTGAATCTAATTTTTATACTATTGTTTACCAAATGATTATAAATAAAACACGATTATTTCAATGAATCACTTGTTGTACAGAATATTGTATGAAATATGTATTTATAGAATATAATGGATTTATATCTAACACATGATTAGCACATAAACGAGTTATTAATCTGGAAATTAGCGGTAATTTACACGACTAAATGGTACGGTGGGAGAGCACCAGTAGTTTACGACTGCCTCCAGTGATACCGACTGTTTTCACAATTTGACCCGTATTTCGATCAAAGCGTTTGTAAGTAATACAGGAATTATGGACTCATTATTTGTGATATATCTTGCATTTGATTGTTTGTCTCAACTATTTTACTGCTGATCGCATCGTCGACTACATTGTGTCCGACAAATAAGATGTATATTAAGTGTGCATTGAATAGGGAATGGCAGTACAATTGAGATATACAGTAGAATAGCACCAGAATGTACTGTTAACTGCTTTTATTGGGTGGAGTTGTCATTGGTATGTCTCGTATAGATGATACCGAGTATTGCATTGCATCTTAAATGCCATTTAATTGTATGTATTCATTATATCGGTATTGTACACTATACATAATTGAGTGTAGCAAACATATTCCGCCCAAAACTTTATGAGAATACATAACTTATATCATAAGATAGTTATGTCTATTAAAACTTTCAGTATATTAATCGTTAGGACAGGTAGCAAGGAATTGTATGCAATATATTGTGAGTTAACTATTGCTGTCAATTGTGATAGATTTTTGTGCAAGACTTGGACCAATCAATAACATAAATACTGATAACAAGTTTGAAAAATATTTGCCTAAACAATGATAAGGCTCTCATCGGTGGTGTTCATGATATTGTCGTACATTTCTATACAAGGAATCAATGGATTCGGTGTTTTTGATGGCGATAAAAGTGAGTAATTGTCAGCAAATGGACAATATTTGTTAAACTTGTGATTAAAACTCATTGAATATCTGTAGACTCGGAGCAATTTACTCCTAAGAGCTATAACCAAATGATTACAACATTGAAATCAATTCGTGAGTATTCGTGACTTATTAATCACTAACACATCTAATATATAGACTACCTTATCAACGATAATCATAATAATTAATAAAATATCTCTTATTATTGGCTAATTTGTTAATAGATGGGTTGACTTACGATCAAATACCGGCCCCACTAATGGTCGTACAGCCGACTAGACCTACGATCAGCTATTTATACCGAGAAGAAAAGCAATGAAGTTTTCATTTCAAAAATGATATTAATTTTATTCAAAATATTTATATCGCTCTTTGGTGAACAATTTTAAATAATGTTATTATTTATAAATCATAAATTATGATTAAAATTAATCAATGGCAATAATATTACATAATTATATTATTATATAATTAAATGTTAAATTATGTTCTCGTTACGATTGGAATAAATTATTTTTATTATTAATTGTTTCTATGATTAGTAATAATTTATTGCTTATATTTTGTTTAAAAATTTGAAATCAGAACCTAAGAAGTAAAGTAAAAAGCAAAAGTCAATTACAGATACAGAATATTAGTGTCCATTGAGTTGAATGGGAAGTAAAGTAAAGATGTGTAGCGAATATGTCTTGAATCCTATACTCACTTAAATAGGTCTCTCTCTCTCTCTCTCTCTCATCGGTGGTGTTCATGATATTGTCGTACATTTCTATACAAGGAATCAATGGATTCGGTGTTTTTGATGGCGATAAAAGTGA